GTCGCATCTTTCCATGCAGCGCCAATAGGGAATTGCAAGTTGCAACGCCAATGTCAAATACCAAAATCAAAGGGGGCACGGTGCCCCGGTGCCCCCCCCCCCCCCGTTCCGCCACCTATGCGTGACACTTTGGCTATTTAGGGTATTATTATGTAAAAAGCGTCGGACCACGACAAAATTGTACCCTCGTGCCGATCATGTTTTTATCTGCCATAACACATTTCATATATTGCACACAAATAACCGTTGGCTTGTTAGTTGTTTCTTGAGATCATGGTAGGTCATACAATCTCAATTCTAGAAACTACAGCGGGTCCCTATCTTCTCCACAACTGTCATTGACCTATTGAAAGTCTTAACACGCGCACCGACGGGGGGCGGATATCCGCCCCCCCCCCTGAGGTTTTTCGCGGATAGCGGGAAAACCGCGGCGCGTAGCGCCGCGAAATTTGGTACGACTATTCTCTCATCAATTTTACACATGGTGTGCAAGTTTGAACCTCCTAACTTTAAGGTCAGGTCACCAGGTCACTTTGAATGACCCAACATCAAGCCACTTTTTTGCAACTTTGTCACCGTGCCAGAGCTACAGTAGATGTCGGAGGCCTTTGAAAATCGCAAGATGTTATTAGGTCATTAGTAGCTACAATTTGTTTATCTCGGAATTTGGATATCGATGACCTAAGGTCAGGTCAATTTCTCGACCTCCCCATTATAAGTCAATGGGGGAAAAATCAACTCCCTGTTTTTACCACTAAAACGGGTCGGAATGGCCCCATATACCATACATGACTTCATATACGATCAACCTTCACTACCTTGAGGTCAGTTTTGCTGTTGGGCAGCTGTAAGGTCATGTGACGTCATCAAAGTTCACCAAAGATTTTTTTGCCAATAACTCCGTACAGGAACAAGATACAGCCGCGCGGATGGTCTCATTGTGTTCAGCTCGTCAAGACGCATCGAATGATATACATGATGACCTCGAGGTCACGTGACCTGAGGTCAACCTTTGACCTTGACCTTTCGAGGTCAAGGTCAAGGTCTGTGTGTAGGTCAAGGTCTGTGCAAGGTTTCGAGGTCAAGGTCTGTGTGTAGGTATACTGATGTGTGCACCGAGTGTTTATGTGTCCATATTACATGAAATCATGATTTGAGAAGCTGTTACCAAAAATGCAGTCAAAAAACTTCACGAAAAGTAAATTTAGCTTGCCTAAAACGCAATTATTTTAGATGACCTAGGTTGACCTTGACCCTGACCTTGACATCTGTACATCGTCGAACAACATGAGCATGATAGATTGGAGGTAAGAATGGCAAAAAAGGCCGAAATCAAGGTGTGAAAAGCTCACAAGGCCCATAGCCAACGCAAGATGCTGAGAATTGGCCATTTGGGCCATGACATGACCTGAAAAACAAGGTCATATCTCCGAAACCAAAAACCACAGAAACTTGAAATTTTCAGTTGACATCAAGAAAGGATGGAGGAGCAGCTATACGAAAAATCAGCCTTCAAGCTCTAAAAATGTTGAGTGCAGAGCAGAAAAACTACTTGGGGGGGGGGGGGGGGGTGGCAACCACCCCCCCATGTGCGGGCGAGGGTTAACCCTCGCCCGTATTGGTGTTTTTTCCAGCCGCGAACGTATAAAGGTCAATGACCTGACCTGACCTTCCGGTGACCTTGACACCCACCCTAATGCATGGAAGCAACATCAAATCACATGTTTGAACGTTTGAAACCACGAAAAGCTTGCAAACGCGCGGCTAATGCGAGCCGACATACGCAGAATCGCGATTCCGGCCAAACATGGTCTCGGAAAAGAGGTCACAGGTCAAAGGTCATTTGGGTCAGGGTCATGAAACTTTCAGGGTAGGTGTAAAATTGATCAATGTGAGGGTACTGAAAGTGTCGTCGCGATCGGCCGCTTTTTACGCGAGTTATTCGCGAAAAACCATGGGGGGGGTCCATCCGACCCCCCCCCCCTACACATGCGAGGGATAAAACCGGACCGGTTTCGTCTAAAAAACTTCTACAGCGTTTTTTAACCGCTGAAGAAGTCGTTATAGACAATAACGGACAGCTGTTATATAATTGTCTTTTTTAATATATTCATTTACTATTTGCTCTCTTACGGATGACATCTTGGTTATTAAGGCACTAGGCATAGATGACCGAAGTGTCGCAAGAAAATGTTTTCAAAAGTAATATGGTGTAAATAGCCGTTTTCGTGATTGACCTGACCTGGAAGGTCAACCAATGACCTAGGACCTTAAAATTGGGTATCATCGGCTTCCTCTCGTCACGGGCAACACGCTCGTTTTTTCCGCGAAGCTCTAGCTCGATCAGGGGCCAAACGGCAAGGGGGGGTCCAACCGACCCCCCCCCCCCTACACATTAGAAGCTGGCAAACGCCGCACACATGCGAGGGTTATATATAATTGTCTCTTTTAATATATTTATTTACATACTATACTTGCTCTCTACTATAGGCAGTAGGCCCGGGCAGCGCTTGTCGAACAGCACTGCGGATCCGAAGGTTGGGACTTTAATTGTGAAAAACCGCCCGCCCGCCGCCAAACGCAAAACCGCAAAACGACGCCTAAAACGCAAACGCAAACTTCGCAAAAAAAACAATCGCCCGCCCGCCAAAAACCGCAGAAAAAAAACGCCGCAAAAAACGCCCGTCCGCCGCAAAACGCAAACACCGCCTCCGCAAAAAACGCATCGCCCGCCGCCAACCGCGCAACGCCGCAAAAAAACGGACGCCCGCCGCAAAACGCAAATTCGCAAATAACGGCCGGCCGCCGGCAACCGCAAAACGCCGCAAAAAACGGCCGCCCACCGCAAACCGCAAAACGCCGCAAAAAACGGCCGCCCGCCGCAAACCGCCGCAAAAAAAACGGCCGCCCGCCGCAAACCGCAAAACGCCGCAAAAAAAACGGCCACCCACCGCAAACCGCCGCTAAAACGGCCGCCCGCCGCCAAACGCAAACACCGCAAAAACACCCGCATCGCCCGCCCGCCCACCGCCAAACACAAAAACCGCAAACACCACCGCAAAAAAAACGCCCGCAACGCACGCACGCCCGCTGCCAACCGCAAAACACCGCAAAAAACGGCCGCCCGCCGCCAAACGCAAACACCGCCAAAAACGCAAAAACGGCCGCCCGCCGTCAAACGCAAACCCCGAAAAAAAACGCAAACGCCGCCGCAAAAAAACGCCCGCCGTAGGCAAAACGCAAACACTGACGCATTAAGACAAATATGGCGCCCTGCGGCAAATGTGGTGCATTCATATCTGCCGTTTAAGCAGCCATCCCTTAATTACAGCGCATCCTAATCGTCCAATGTTCGACAAAGTTAAGCACATTCTGCGCTTTGCGGCAAAAATGGCGCTTTGAGACAAACGTGGCGCACTGCAACAGACATGGCGCATTCGTTCATGTCGCTTAACAATTCATCCACCCACCAAATTCTAGCCCAATCGGACTTAAACTTACAAAGTTATGCACATTTGAATATTTCACTATAAAATATCTCCGCCACGAAGGTGCCCATCTTCACACGTGTGCCACGTAACCACTGGTGGTGTAAGCAGGACTTGTCCCCTCGCCGGTTGCACCATTTCAGGCTTCCTGACTGGTGCTGTTTTCGTGCTATAACGCCACAAATCGGCAAACACACGATAATCTGGGAGGTACGCGACTCAAACACGTGGCCACGTGGCACGTGCCGGACCTCTGATAGCTTCACCGCTCAGGCCACGTGATGACCCATCGACGTGGCCACCAGCATGTAAAAGATGACCCCGGCCGGTGTCACCGTCTCTGAACAGTGGACGGCTAAACTCGAAAAACGGGAAAATTTAGGGAAATTTCACCTTTCGAATATATAATTTCCCCAGAATTTTAAATTTTTCATTTTACAAAAAATCCGAGATAGCAGTTTTTTAGCCTCCTTCATTCTGTGCCTATACCCGTTTTCAGATCGACCCTATCATAAAAACTGACGGCCTGACGGCTATTTCCCCCATTCCTTGCATTTCACAATGCTAGTATATTTAAGCACCAAAATTGACCACGTGCCACGGCACGTGCAATTGCACGTGCGCCACGTGACCACTAGTGCGACAAGCTGGACTCATCTGCTCACCGGCTACACTGATTTGGTGTCGCTAGATGAAGTCGTTTCCGCGCCATAGAACCCCGAGTAGGCCAATGTCGGATTTTCCCGGAGGTTACCCCATCAAACACGTTTGCACGTGGCACGTGCTTTTCAATCGCCCCATATCTGACCCATACCACGTGGTAGCCAACACCCCGGTGCACAACATATTGGAACTTTTTCAAAATCTAACGTGGAAATTTTATGCAAAATCGATTTGAAAATAATTTTTCAAAATTGCCATAGGCTCAACATGGGGTAACTATCCGTCCCGATTACCCGAAACTGTACCCTATGATTTTTAAATAACTAACATCAAAAGGTGAGGTGCCTGGCCGAGATCCAATCCTAAAAATATCAGCAAATATAATTGACGAAATTTTTCGCAAATCGAATTTCCAATTTTCCCCCATGTTAACCCTATGGGAAAATGCACGTGCCGATTACCCCAAAACGGGTTAATTATATTTCAAGCGACCGATGCCAGCCGGTAGCTCCCCCACACGGGACCAAACGCTGAAAATGGCAAAAAATTCTACCGTGCCGTTTTCTTCCCTATCAAGATGACCAAAATCGCGGCAGAAACGCTAAACACCCCCCTAGAGAGGTAGCTCAGGTTGGGATTTTCAATAGAAAATCACAATTCTAAAGAATAGTGATTGTTCTTAATTGAAAAGTCCCAACCTTCGGATACAGGTACACTCGTCCAATATATCTGCATGATGTCATCAATCTATGTTTTTACTTTCTTCCCGAAGCAGTCTGTGTTTAAGAGCCTCACGAGCTACCTGCGCTCAAAAAAGTTACTTAAAAAACGCCCAAGAAACGACACGAAATTGAGTGTTTTAACATTGTGTGGGCATCTCTATATTATAAGATCTCTATGTTGAAACTTACGCCTGAACTGATCAAACCAAGATCAAACGCTTAGTTCGGCATATTCAAGGGAACTAAATGCTATATAACATATAACATATTTGCTATAGGTAGGCTTCGTTGTAAAAAGAGGGCTAAGTTCATATGGTGACTACCATTCATTCAGATATTTTTAGTAGACTTTCTGTGGTCCAGCCTCATCTCGTTTGAGAGCGCACACGATGGTCCGTTTGACCAAATAACTTTCAACTTGAATACGTAATTTTCAACAGCGGAAGACGGGCACAACATGGACAACGGAACTCCAAGAAAGGAAAAGGTTGAGCTGTCAGTGGTTATAAAACATGGGAGAAATTGGAGAAACTCTCGCGGCGAGCCGCTGCAGCCGTGCGTGCTACGCTGTGAGTACGGCGACGGAAACACCATTGGCGAGTCGAACAAGGTAACTGGCGACGGCGAGGGCGGCGCCGAGATCGACTTCACGGCCACCATCAGCCTGGAGCAGGACGTGACCGACTGGAACCAGCTGGCCAACACGCCCATCATCATACTCCTGATGGAGTCGTCGCTGAAGGAGTCCAAGAAGAAGAAGAGCCCTAGCTTTAACAAGGTCGGCGTGGTGACCATCGACCCGCTGCCACTGTTGTTTCAGGCTCCACCACCGGAGCAGTTCTACGCGTTCTACCCGTCCGATCACATGCTGCCCGAGGCGGAGAGAAGGATCCTGAGGTCTCCCGAGGTGTCCGTGCTGTTCCAAACCAGCGCGCCGCTGATCCCACCGAACGTCTTGGAGGAGCTGAACATGCTGACAATCACCCTGGACAGCTACTACGGGCTGCCGGAGCGACTTCAGGAGTGCTGGGACTGCCACGACTACATCACCGCCTTCTTCCTGCCGATCGATCAGCCGGACGAGGTTATGCGCTATGATAAATCCCTGTATCAAGAGACCAGCTCGCTGTGGCGCAATCACTACTGGTACGGACGCACGGGTGGGATGACAGACGAGGACTTCATACCGGCCAGCACACAGAGCTTTCACAAACACTCCGAAGAGGACAACGACAGCTCCGGAGACTTCCGAGGTGATGACGTCAACTATGAGCTGATGTCCGGGGACCGAGCGAGAGTGACAATTAACACCGAGAGACGGATCCTGCTGACAAGAAAAATGTTAAGCACATTCGAAAACTACGCATCCAGGCATAAAGTTCTGCCCGTAGAGCTAATGGTGAAGAAGTCGAAGACCGCCCAGGCAGGTGCCAAGGCGCGCAGAAAGACGATGGACGACCTGGTGAGCGTGCAGTTCGGCATGGCCATGGTGAACCTCAGCTACCTGCTGTATCCGGGGGTGAGCCGACTGCGTGGCGCTTACCGAGTGCAGACGCTGGACCCGACGAAGTACGAGGAGGTCACAGGCGGCCGGCGCAGCCTCTTCGTGCAAATGTCTAACGGCGGCAGCGCTGAAGATGCTGCTTCCACCGTTAACGGAAAGCGCAGCGACCTGGACAAGTCGGAGCGCCGAGAACAGAGAGACGAGAAGCCCAAGAGAGCGAAGGACGAGGGTAAGGACAGCGAGAAGGGTAAGGACAAGAGAGCCTCTCTGCAGCCGGGGCTGCAGCTGCCGCCGCTGCCGTCAGGTCTGCAGCTGCCTGAGATGCCGGTGGCGCCGCAGGACGACCTGTTTGCCGACGGCGACATGTTCCTCGTGCTGGACATGCGACTGAAGACGCCGCTGGTGAAGCGGCACACACTTCAGCAGCTGGCGCAGAATGTGCAGTCTCTGATTCCTCAGAGAGACGACCTACCTCGAGAGGCCCGGAGCGCCGCAGAGGCTGAGAGCCGATACCACAAGAAGATCAAAGAGCTGAGCAAGAATCTGCTGGACGAACTGCGCCTCAACAAGCACAAATATACCGCTCCCGAAGGAGGAGATGCTTTGGACGCCGAGGAAATCTGGCAGCGCTTTGCTTTCGACATGAACACGTCTGGAAAATACTTCGTCATCAAAGAGGCTCTAAAACCAGCGATTTTGGAAGTCGTTCGAGAGAAGTATCTCAAATACACTAGCTTCATAACGCAGGAAGAAGTCCAAGACTTCCTATCTCAGCTGTATGTGTACCTTGTCACCGAGATGCACGCGGCATTGAACCAGTTTCTGGACACTGAGGAGGAGCCACTGGTGGCACCGTCGGTGGTGGATTGCGCCGCGCTGCGCACCTTCGCCGAGGTGGCACAGCAGCTGGGAAAGCAGAAGAAGGCCCAGCAGTTCTACCTGGAGAGGATGGCGCGGGAGAGACAGAACGCCGACCACTGGTGTGAGTACGGCGAGTTCTGCTCCAGCGTCGGCAACATCGACGTCGCCGAGGGCTGCTTCCGTGACGTGCTGAGCCACAACCCGAACAGTGCCAGAGGTTTGCTTCTGCTCGGCATCTGCTCGTCGCTTCGCCAAGAGTCGGAGCAGGCCACCATGTGCTTGCAGTACGCCGCCTGCGTCCGACGAGAGTGCTTCATCACACAGACGGTGCTCGGCATACATCTGGAGAGGGCAAACGACGTGGTGGGTGCCGAGATCGCCTACAAGTCGGCGCTGCGCCTGCTGGTGCGCGCCATCCGTTTCCATCAGGTAGACATCCTGCTGGAGTACCACGACTCGTACCTGATGGAGCTCGAGTGTTGCCCGCTGCCGGCAGAGCCCACTGCACTCGAGCTGTGTGTCACTGCCGCCGAACAGGAGGCCAAGGAAGCTGCCGAGCGGGACGGATCGCCGGACTGCGATCTGCTCCTGGTGCAGCGCGAGCAGGGCCGCCTCGAGGAAGAAGAGGTGGAGAAACGGCGCCGTCGCGGCCGCCGGGCGAGCAGGAGCATCAGCTGCCGTCCAGGCCGCGGGGCCAACCGCTCCGATCGTTCCGACGGCCGAGAGTCGGAGGACAGACGCGAAGGCGCGGAGGAGGCTAATGGCAGCGAGAGCGAGTCGACTGCGGCGGCTCGGGCCGAGCTGACCAACTCACACGTCCTGCTCAACAAGCTCTACCTGCTAGTGGCACAGTTCCTCCTCAAGCACAAGGCCTACAACTTCGCCGAGCACGCCGTCAGTAAGATGGTGGTGACTTCAGACCGCCAACTGTCCCCCGACTACTACATCACGGCTGCCAGGCTCAACTACCTGATGGGAGACCTCTCCACGGCCAATGACATCGTGCAGGAGGCGCAGAAATACTACTACCAGGACCCCAAGCTGTGGTCGCTGATGGGCCACATCCAATACTGCTCAGGCGACTCAGTGACGGCGCGCCGCTGCTACGAGACGCTGCTCGACCTGGGCCAGCAGCCCGACGACATCCACCTGGTGCACATGTTCCTCGGCGAGATCTACTACCGCGAGTGCCAGTTTGTGCGCGCGCGCGGCAGCTTCCTGTTGGCCGTGCGCGCCCTACCGTCACCCTTCTCCTGGCTGTGGCTCGGCAAGGCCTGCTACCGGCTCGGTCACTACGGCGAGGCCGAGGAGGCGCTCAGGGAGGCCAACCTCCTGGACAGCACATGTGGCGAGACCTGGGCCTACATCAGCCTGGCCAGTCTGCTCTCTGAACAGCGCGTACTGGCTGAGCAGGCCTACAAATACGCCCTGAAGCTGGGAGGGGTCAGCCAGGAGCTGCTCACCGAGATCCATCAGGTGCAGAAGGAGAAGGGTTTCGGAGATCCCGGCTTCCAGTCGACGTGGTGGAGCAAACAGTACGTGCCCACCGAGTGAACGTGGAGGAGCGGAGCGACTCGACTAGCAGCTTGGGTGGCTGAGCGTAGTGTAACGTGACGTACCCTCTGTTTTGAGCATGATACACAATAAGTGAGGATTGAGAGAGAGAGAGAGAGAGAGAGAGAGAGAGAGAGAGAGAGAGAGAGAGAGAGAGAGAGAGAGAGAGAGAGAGAGAGAGAGAGAGAGAGAGAGAGAGAGAGAGAAAGAGAGAGAGAGAGAAAGAGAGAGAGAGAGAGAAGTGATGGGCTGGATTAATTGAGTGTGTACGTGTGAGTGTAAGTGAGTGTGAATGAATGAGTGATTGAGTGACAGGGATAGATTTTTAATGATTGCATATGATACTGTGTTTTAAATACGACGAAATAAGTGTGCTGTTTAGAGAAAAGCGAAAGTCATAGCATTCCAAGCGATTACTTCTGTGTGTAGATAAAAGTAAAATCGCAATGAGTGTGCTTGACAAGTTGAACATATTACATGCATTGCATTCCACAGCCAACTTGCTTCATGTGATGATGCATCTGATGGAGAAGGGCCAAGGCTCGTCTCTATACACTAGCATACAATGGATCTATAGGTTCCTCAATTCCTCAGAGAGGGTCAAGTGTTTGATACGGTCAACAGTGCTTGAATTTCGTGATTGTTGTGAAGCGCTTATTATTCATAACATTCGTTTTTTTTTTTGCTATGCGGCAAATGCTGCTTGCTTAGAGTTTGCGAGATTAAACATGCAAAACGAAACGAGCTAATAAGCTCTAGGATCATATATACAGGAGTTATTCACCAAAACCATTATGCGATAGACCGTAACGGGCCACCGCCGGCCACTGCACTGGCGGTTGAGCGACAGCAGCACCGCCTAAATAAATTGACCACAATAGCTGCATCGTAAACGCTCAACATTAAACAACAACGAATGTTTTTTGGAACTCTTGACATTCATCAAGGACATCGATGTCCGAGCTCCAGTGGGCTTTGGCCCGTAACGCATAAGAAACGGATTACCAAAGGCATAAAAGCCGTTTTAAGTTGAAAATGACTCAAAATTTCCATCGGGCAGGCATAATTTACGAAATATATTATCAACCGGCAAACAGTTTAACGCATTTTGAAACTGTCAAACAAAGAATTTCATTTCCGGGTTTCGCTTCATTCCTTCATTGCCATATCTATCCACATAGCTATTTCGTTGGTTTGTATCCATGTCGAAAGAGGGTATTCCATTCATTTCTTGGCCTGCCCCAGTTTCTCAAGACCTTGGAACAGGTGTTTCCTGGCTCCCGGCCCGTAATAGCTGAAGGAGGCCGGTCCCGTCTGCTAGTTCTCACGGCGTCCCCACTCGGCACGTGCCGCCCCAGAGTCGGCCCTCATCAAACCAGTCCGCTGCGTCGCCCCGCCCGTGGTCTGTGAATTACATCATGGTGCATACATCTGTGCCGCCCGCCTGTCGGCCCGACAGAGCGGCAGCGGGCCGCTCGTGGCGTCCCCCTCTGTCCGCGCCGGCCCCCGGCCGGGCCCCACATGGCGCCAGCGCGGCCGCTCATTGGTCGCCGGCCGGCGGCGGCGAGCGCTCATTGGTCCGCCGGACAGGTGGAGTGGCACGTGCGCAGCCGGCGGACGCGCCGGCCAGCTGAGCGCCCGAGGGCATTGAGCGCGCGTGCGGGCGCCACTCTTTATGTCCATTGATGCATTGAATCTGGTCCGATTACGGGTGCGTGTAGCGGCGCGGCCGGCTGAACTGAACTGTTTACCGTCCTGCTGTCTGGCACACACGCGCTCAGAGGTCATGACCTGGGACATAATCCAAATCACGGCCAGCTGTTCTCAGACAGTACCGACGTCTTCTGTGGGGTGGAAAAGGGCGATCGGTTCAGACGCCATCGCACGGGAGGTATTGAGGAAGTCCTTTGAAAGGGCGTGGGCCACACGGAACGCAACTTGGTCAATCAGCCAGGGTTGTCTAACCAATCTCGACAATAACAGACCATTATTTACGTAAACGCAAGCTGCTTGTGACTGTGGGTGATGCTGCATGCCTTTCATTTAGTTACCCTGCATTGTCGCTCTATGCAGTCACCTGAGCTTGGAAAGCACAATTTTTTGTGTTATTAGCATAATCATACCCCTTTAGGTAAAGTGTGATACTGGTCCATGCCTAGCAAATTATCCTCTCAACCTACTTCTCTATGCATTTATTATTTGTTCCTGAATTGCTTTTCAAGCAGAGCTGCGCCCTCGAAAGAGTACCTAAACATCAGAAATGCTTTGGCTAAACAGCAAACATGGCCACGAGTGAAAAAGATATGCAAGTACTGGCAAGCACTTATATAAAGACGAGTTATAAATGGACGTCACGCAACACGCATTACAAACGTCCGCATTAAACGGCGCCCACCACAGAGTGAAGGGTAGGTTTGGAATTTTTAAGAAGAAACTGTCTGCTTTCAGAAATGAGAGGCTATTCAACGAATCTTATATTGGAGATGGAATGGGGTGTTGTGGGATATGTTCTTTTTGAAATATAATTATCTATATTGTCCGTCTGCTTTTTAGGCACGTATTGTTCCCTTTAGCAGGTAGGCATTACACCGGCAAAATGAAATTCCGCTGTCAAGCAAAAAATGACAGATGCAATGGCTTCTTATTAAATATTATTCAATACAATTTGAGAACCCGTAGCTTCGTAAATCTAGTCTAGCGTTCACGACTTTCTCGATTGACTGTGGTACCGACGGAGACATCTTATTGCATCCGGCTGTCTTATAACCACCAATGCCGTTATTGCGTACAAATCGCGTTTTCCTTTTCAATAGTGATGGCTTACTGAAAGGCAAAGGAACAATTGCTTTTATCGCTATGACTTCAAATTATTCACTCAATAATGTTTACTTAGAAGGCTTCAAAACATAGGTATTATTGGGTCAATCATGAATGCTGAAACACATTTCAAAAGTGAAGGCAAAGTCGTCAACTCAGGAGCAGTTGTTGATCCAACTATAAGCAAGTTTTATCGGTGTCTTTGCGTAACCTTCCATACTTTGAGCTTGAATGTCTTATTCGAGACATATCGTAAGACCTACCGTAAGGTGGGACTATTTGAGACAGTAGTGGGGCTATTTGAGAGAGTATAGTAGTGGTTTGGTAAAATTGCTATAAAATGAAAACTATTTGGGATTCAATTTCCATTTTTGCTCAGGTATAGTGTGGAATCGAACAGTGAATTGCCTGAGCAAAAATGACAACAAATATCAAACGGCTTTCATTTTATACCGATTTTACTAAACCACTACATGCTATCTCAAATAGGACCACTGTTTCAAAAAGCCCCACCTTACGGTACCTTAAGCCCGTTTCAGATACGATGCACTGCGCAATGACATATCGTAATCGGACCACATGAGCCCATAAAAAAATTAAAGACTACGTTCATGTTTGGCTTGCATTCGATGTACGTTTTTTTCGGCTACTAGTCATTTATTGTTTTCGTTTCGAATTTTCGACCCTCGCATCGAGGCCGTCGTCAAGAAACATGGCTCACTGGGAAAGGGGAAGACCGTTGACGTTCGGCGGAAATACGTTTGCGAATCAACATGGCCCCGATACGACCGTATTTTAAGGAAACTGTAATAGTTTATCCATAAAACATATAATAAAAAGTCAATAATCAGCCGAATGTTCAATTTACTTCTGGCCCGTTTGTTAGGAACACTTTTTGTCATTAGATAATGTTACTTTCTTTTATTATACATAAAATGACTTCACCGGACACCGACAATATGCCTTATTCGTTTGATTTTTGACACGCGGAATTAGTTCCGCTTAAGTTTGAAAATAAGGTCAAATTTCGTATTAAACGATTCAAAATCATTCAAATCAGTTCACCTTTCATGTTGTCTCGTCAAGAACAGTGCGCTACTTAGGTACATGCCACGATAAATGATTATTGGAACCTCATTGCATTTGCATGAGTAAATTAAATTCGCTAACGAAAAATGTCGGCACCTAAAAAGTACTGTTATGTGCTAGCCTTAAAGGGACCCTCCCACCTTCAAAAAAGTTTATGAATTGGCATGAAAGTGATGTCGCTCGGTTCAGAAAGAGCGAAAACGAATATCTACCAAATTTCACCGAAAAATGTTCACCGGTTTTCAAGATATTAGACTCAAAATTAGACTCTTACTTTTGTTTACTTTTTTGGGATCTCCGCTGTTTCTAGCGACTTTATTTTAGAAGTGCGGCGTTTGCGGCAGATGTTGCGCTCAAATAGCATATACCACCGCGTGCTACAAAACGTTTTAGTCAAACATTAAAAAATCGTTAGATATCTGCGCTGACGTCACACATTCAGAGGGGTATTCCTAAGCATTAGCCCCTCTGAATCAAAATGCTGCAATTTTGAAATTCAATATTTCCGATTTAAGGCATTTCTCGATGTTGTGAGTGCCGAAACCGGTAATTGTGAGCCAGGGACCCCATTTTGGCTATCTCAACTCAAATCTAATGTTAAGGTGGGAGGGTCCCTTTAACGTACCAACGAACCTCGGGTATAAACAGCTGACGGAAATAATGTTGAACCGGAAAGTAAACAGGCAGGATGCGATAAATATATAGTCATGCTTGTAAGGCACAACCGGGCCTCATGTGAAATATGATCAGTCATTTTTTGATGGCGCCTTTCACGCATTTTTTTGCAAGATTCTTTTACGTTTGGAGCATAATTCTCCAACATATATCAGGTTCAGCATTTTGGTAACAAATCGGTAAGTGTCAGCAAAGCTGGCTGTAATTTATGTTTACTTTGCATTAGTTGGTGTTGATCTAAAAACGGTTCAAGAGTTAACAGGTCAAAACGCTCTTAAAGTGTGAGGAAAAGAGGAGTAGTCAGCGATGCATCCAAAACTAGCAGCCCCTGCGACTTTTGAGAGGAGGCGCAGCCCGCAGCCGCCACCCGCCGCCCGCCTACCGTGGGAACTGATACCCCTCTGTGATTGGTCGGCCCGCCGTCTGTGGGGGCGGGGCCTGCGGAGCGGCCGGGGAGTGCGAGGGGGCGCCGCGGCCCCCGGCTGGTCAGTCGGCCCGCGTCAGTCGCCGGCGGCGGTCCGGCGCCCGGCACTCCTCATCTCTCAGACCCTACGGCAACGTGCAGCATGTGCAATACGGAGCAAGTACAAACCTTCAGTGTGGCAGGCGACGACGGTGGCGAACTGAACGAGAAGCTGGTCATCGAACTCTAGTCAAGACGAGAACGAGTCTAGTCAAGAACAAGATTCAATATCTAGTCAACAAGAAATCCGCGAAAAGGTAAAAACTTGTATAAAAACAGCAAAACAACAAAGCTAAAAATATTAGTTGAACTCACACAATCCATTCAAGATGTGTGTCATGTAAATATTGTGAATAGCTGCATAGATGCGTTCAATCTAGTCATCGCCTGACGCAGTGAAATCAAACTGCTGTTGTCACGAAACAGTTGATCTCGTGAGACATCTAGTCAAGACGTACTCTAGTCAAGAAACGTCGATTGCACGTTATCTAGTCAAGACTCCTTTCTAGTCAGAGAAGAAAGAGTTCTAGTCAACGAAGATCTCTAGTCGAAGAAGGTTCCTAGTCAAGGCAGATATCTAGTCAGAGAGGAGCTCTAGTCAATGAGTTCATCTAGTCAAGAAAATATCTAGTCAATAAAGATCTCTAGTCAAAGCAGATCTCAAGAGTACTGTCTAGTCAAGGAACATCTAGCCAAGGAGCATCTAGTCAAGAGAGAGATACACGCCTGGCTCGTGGACACACCGGGTCATCAGGCTCAGTTGGGTCAGGCGGTCACGTGTCGGCTCACAGACACCACCTCGCTGCGAGACTGGCTGGACAACATGTCACGTGACCTGTTCACCCGACGTGACCCGACACCGTACAGCGACGGGGAGCGGAGCGACCTCAGCTCGGAGCCAGAGCTTGACCGGCCGCCGCTACCCTACCTGCCGTACCCTGCAGCGTACCCCACAGCGTACCACGCCGCGTACCATGCGGCGTACTCGGCAGCGTACCAGGCGACGTACCCGGAGCCGTTCGGCGTGGCGGAGTACCCGGCTGAACAAGAGGAGCCGCTGAACCTGACCCTGCCGCGGCCCGAGTCGCCGCCGCCGGCGCCCGTCCGCTACAGCTACCTGGTCCGCCGCAGGGATGAGCACGGCGCAGAGCACGTCACCTACCTGTCGCCGCAGCGGCCGCGCACGCCGCCCGCGCCACCGGCGGCCGTGGCGCGCGCGCACTCACTCTCCAAGTCATGCCCGCCGGCCGGCGCCAGCACACCGGAGCGGGCGAGCGGCGCCGAGGGGGCCGGCGCAGCGCGGCGGCGCAAACACCGCGCCACGCGCCGGCTCACCTTCGATGAGGAGAAGAGCTCGCCCATCTCTGGCACGCTGATCCGCGACCTAGCTGAGGGCGAGACGGTGAGCGGCGACATCGACCCGGCGCTCAACACCGTCGAGGTCACCGAGCAAGCGAGATCAGAGCTGGCCAAAATCCCCAACCGGATCGGCGAGTACGCCTGCACGCTGTGCCGCACCGTGTACGAGGACGCGTTCACGCTGGCGCAGCACCGGTGCCCGCGCATCGTACACGTTGAGTACCGGTGTCCCGAGTGTGACAAGGTGTTCAACTGTCCGGCCAACCTGGCCTCGCACCGGCGCTGGCACCGGCCCCGGGCCGAGAGGACGGCCGAGCGGGCGGCGGCCGCCGCTCAGGAGGTCACCGATGACTCCCAGCTTCGCTGCTACCTCTGCGGCAAGGCCTTCAAGCGCGCCGCCGCCCTCAAGAAGCACATCGAGTCGCACGCGACGGAGCGGCTCGGCGCGGCGCTGCCTGGTGGACGTCTCGACTACCTGAGCCTGTATGCTGACCAAAAGATGTCGCTAGCGCTGCCTGGCGCTGGCCTTCTGACGGTGGCACCAGAGGAGTTCCGGGATCGGTCACCAGTCCGCTAGAACCAGGTAGCTGCCGATCCAGTCACCGTGTTGTTAGATGTTTGACCTTCACAGGAGCTTACACGGGGTGGGGTAGAAGTGTCGCTCTCATCTAAACGTTATGTGCTTATTTGCGGCTAGTATACCAAATATACGTAACGATAAGTTTCACTAAGTTGAGCTAGACCGGCTGTGTCTCCTGTGCAATCTGAGAGAGCTACATCATGACCTAAGGGACGATGGCGTAAATAAGTGATTTGACGCGAATCACATGCAGTTTCGAGTACGATTTACCCAACAATTACCACTTGTTTTTCATATAATTGCGTTGTCTTTCGTATGCTAGTCATGCATTTGTGCAGGTGTCATATTTTGAATTACGTTTAGTGTAATCATAGGTGTGTTATGTGTAGGCATTGAACCACTATTACATACATCGAGAAACATTCTAAATCACACTCAAAAGATTACCAAATTGCCGACCGATCATTTCGCGGATGTCCAAACATTTATATATTTATATCTGGCTCTCTGCATCAAATTATTCCAATTAACGTTACCTGACTTGTTAATATTGATGTGTACATTTAATGTGTAAATAGTGCTTGTTCAGGGCACATCTGTTGATGTTATGTAACCACCAGAGACCTGAAAACGGTCAGGTGAAAGACGAGTCCAATCTAGTCATTCGTAGTCGCGGACAAAGGACTGAAGACTCGCGATGGGCCGACCACATTCTGCCATGAATGCTGTCAAACCAAAGCCGCGGCTAAACTCATCCTGGCCAGCGCTTGGATTCATCCGGTTTGGATGTGTGGCGCCCATTGCGGGTTCGTCCCGATCTCAGTCTGCCTAGATGTTTGCTGTGTGTCGATCGCGTTTCAGTGTGGGCTAGTCAACGCTCTAGTCGTCCTGGATGAGTCATCTAGTCATGGAACGAATCTGTCAGTCAAAGTCTAGTCATTGTACCACTCGGAGCCGTTAGGAAACCTAACTTAGCTCACTATCAGGAATTGCGTGTTATAAATGGACAATCCTCGTAGCGAGTTGTGCGACCAATTTGCGTCAACTGTAAACGGTCCGATCTCGAGTAGTTTGCCAGCTGTCTTTCAGATCTCAGAGCTTCAAATATTGCACATCGTCTCACATTGCCGAAGGGTCTGAGAAACCGAGGGAAGATAACGGAGATGACGCTCGGAGGGGCCAGATTTGCCAGAAAAAAATAACGACAGCAGCATTGGCAGCCTTCGCTGTCCAAACGGACGCTAGTCACGCCAGCTTCATGTTTGGTGTATGTACATAGGTATTGTGTGGGTAGCGGTTGTGTTTAGCTGATGTTACTGTGCTCTTTCTAGCGAGTTGTAAGTGTAGAGCAGGTCTGTCGTGTGCCGCTTTTGTACATTGTTCCCATCTCTTCCATGCGTGTTTTGTATGTTACAATAAACGTAGCCAACTCGTGAGCAGAGAGTGTTTGGCTTCAGCAATCGCAACGCCAGTGGGCAGTGAGCGCGATGTTACTGTTAGCAAAGTGGAACTGATTTGCTAGCAAACAGCTTTCAGTTGAGAAGACAGGGCACGTTCCAGTACAAGTTATACCTTTCTAGAGGAGAGTGGGGACGGGGGAGAACTGGGTCGGGCAGGAGAAGTGGCACACCTCCCAGCTCACCCAAAATTGAGAATAAACACGTGAAAAATGCATAAGAAAGCATGAAAAAAAGAACAATATCAAAGAGAGAAGTAACAACCAATGGTTTATGAGTAGCCAATGCAATCGATTTCCATAAATTTTAAACATTCTATTTTTCATGAACATTTAAAGTTGATGTAAAAATAATGACCTATAAGTTCTCTTCAGTTTCCCCTATTTATGTACGAGTTCTTATTAGTTCGGTGTCTTGGGTATGCTTCTTCTTCACTCATCACTCGATGGTATAAAATGAAACTGCTCATCATCCTTACTAAAATCCCTCTAAACGTTCACAAGCATTATTAAGTACGAACTTCAATGCGGTCGGATTTGGGAAATTGAAACTAACCGGAACAATTCGTACCTTCTATTGAAGATATTGTGTAAAGGATGCAATGTGATCTGATAAAAGCCCACTAATAGATGGTAAGTCAGACAATAATGTGAAAAACATTTGATATGGATAAGCCACATACGTCATACATGACAATATGTATATAATAGATTTATTTACCTTAACAATAGGCACCGAATGTGAAACGACTATAATGATAAACAATGCCTAGCATTTCTTTCCGGTCCAGTCGTGACCTAGGCCTGAGGCAAGGCTTTCAAATTAGTTTTCTTGTACAATGCTTTAGCTTTGGTCACGAGTTAAAAGCTAATTTACCCCAAAACGTCAAAGAAGAAAAAAAACTGTGCTTAGAACTTAGAAGTGGAACTCTGATGCCGACTTTTGACCGATCTGAAAGTAATTTCTCAATTATTTTTACGTGTCTGACCTTTCAAACGTGGCTTGCCGCGCTTGTCGCTACGCAGAGCCAAAATATGAATTTAATACGTGGTCGTTCCAACGCCTCCCCTTTTGCTGATGTGTCGAGATCCGGCCCAGGGCGCGTAATAAGTGAACACTTAAAGGGACTATCCCACCTTCTAAAATGTTGTTAAAACCAGTTAAATTGTGCCCGACTTTATAGATTGGATGACCAGGAACACGGTTCTGGCATTTATTTTTCATTAAACATCTTAGGCTTCCCATATTCCAAGCACAAACTTTCAAATATGTGACGTCACAGCCCAAAATTACCTCCTTCCCCAGGCCACATTACTGTCATAAAGCTGATTCTTTTTACTCTGTAGGCACCACAACAAAGTTCAGACCAAGTTTTAAGCGATTTTTCAACGAACAAACCCATTTAAATCAGAATGACTAAACGAGGTGACGTCACACTAACGGTCGCTCCATGTTGAAGATAGGGCCTTGTACAAGGCCCATTTTCAAATGAAGGGAACGAATTTCTTCAACACTAAGAGGCCGCGGGGGTTGCAACCTAGATAGATAGTGGTTTCTGAACCTCGCCGCAAACTTGGCTATCTCAACTCAAACCCCATGTTAAAGGATGGGATAGTCCCTTTAAGTCTTGTTTAGGTAAAACTTCCCGGCCGCAATCCTACTCAAATGGAATAGTAAAACATAGAATAGTTACAACTTATATGAGTTGCAACATATTTCTAACCACCATGCAATGCACAGTTAACCCGCGCACCGACGGGGGGGGGCGGATATCCGCCCCCCTGAGGTTTTTCGCGAATAGCGGGAAAGCGAAATTTGGTATGACTATTCCCTCATCAATTTTACACATGGTGTGCAAGTTTGAACCTCCTACCTTTCAAGGTCAGGTCACCAGGTCACTTTGAATGACCCAACCTCAAGTCACTTTTTTGCAACTTTGTCACCGTGCCAGAGCTACAGTAGATGTCGGAGGCCTTTGAAAGTCGCAGGATGTTATTAGGTCATTAGTAGCTACAATTTGTTTATCTCGGAATTTTGATATCGGTGACCTAAGGTCAGGTCAATTTCGCGACCTCCCCATTATAAGTCAATGGGGGAAAAATCAACTCCCTGTTTTTACCACTAAAACGGGTCGGAATGGCCCCATATACCATACATGACTTCATATACGATCAACCTTCACTACCTTGAGGTCTGTTTTGCTGTTGGGCAGCTGTGAGGTCATGTGACGTCATCAAAGGTCACCAAAGGTTTTTGGCCAATAACTCCGTACAGGAACAAGATACAGACGCGTGGATGGTCTCATTGTGTTCAGCTCGTCAAGACGCATCGAATGATATATATGATGACCTCGAGGTCACGTGACCTGAGGTCAACCTTTGACCTTGACCTTTCGAGGTCAACATATATATTATTCGATGCGGATTGACGAGAGGATCACGATGCTGCCCTTAGTTTGTTCCTATCTTGACTAATTCGAAAGTTATTCGAGAAAAACTCTCTCCATATCCAGCGCCGCCATGTTGACTTTTTCGACCCCTGTGACGTCATCTTTGACCTGACCTGAAAATGACCTTAATAAAAATTGTAGATCTTGACCGTGCGTATCCGATGCCGTTTACTGCTTGTCGCTATCTTGCTTCGTTCTCGAGATCTCAGGGGGGGGCGGTCATCCGCCCCCCCCCCCGTCGCGTCGGTACGAAGTTGGCGCAGACCCCCGTCGGTGCGCGGGTTAAGCAATTCACTATGGGAAAACGGAAATCAATTGAAAAAGGATTGTCCTTTCAGAATAAACAAGGTGCATCATCCTAATGGGCATCGCTTTTAATCAGAGAGGGCCCAAATGGCAAATACACACGTTTTAGATAAGAAACTCGTCATTTTTATTTAAACTCACCTAAAACGTCCCACCAGAAACACCGACAACCGGAAAATAATTTAGTTTGATAACCAAAGTATGCCTCACCTTTTGACAATGTTTTACCCCGATTTCTCCTACCAGTTTTTCTGTAGGGAGGTAGGTCGCAAATAGGAAAGGGTCGCTAATTAGGCACCTTACCCTACTGATACTTACCATCATTATGTATTATATTATGAAGTACAAATGTCAAACACAAAAGCCTGCCATGAAGTCTCCACAGCATTCCTGTTTCGTAATACGCATCACTATGGTTACACTCGAGAGAATCAACGTTTTTCGTCAGTACCTCCTGCCCAAATTGAGTTTGTGGGTCGGAAGAGGCATAACTCAGAATAAGCCTGAACTCAGAAACTCAGAATAGGGGAAAGTGGGGTAAAACGGTAAGGGTAGGTAAGACGGGCACCCCTTCTGCAGACCAAACCAATAGCGCTGCGGGCGAGAAAAATTAGGACCAGAATTGCCTTTCCCACTACACACCACCATTGAAGTCTGGTGAATTTGTGTTCAGTCGATCATCTTTTATTTTGATTTCTTTAAAACACTAATTTCATTGAAAACATCCATAATGTATTGTGCAAGCTTTTGTTTGCAGCACTATAGAGTTAAAAACTCGCAATCACTTGTGGTTACACTCATATGCCACCAGTGTTCATTTACTGCCGATTTGCTTTGTCTGCATCAAATTGTCCACAGAGAAAAATCGTGCTGAGCTTCTGACTTTGAGTTTGGGGTAAGACGGGCAACTATGAATCCAATGGGTCTGTACCTAATGGTGAAAATATTTTTGTTGCTGTAGGAAAAAAAGAAGCATTTCTAATCAGAATAGGTATGTGCGATTCCGATACTCACAGACATATTAGCAATATTCCTTCGGCACAGCTTTTTCTCGAATAATGAATGTGAAAAACGGTTCTACATGGCTTCTGAACTAGGGCCTATATACGAGCATACGCCTTCTGCACGAATCTCGTATACTGCCATTTCCGAAGCACTTGAGACCAACGAGCGACTGTATCAATGCGGCTAATCTCGGGCATTTGTTGCGAGCTGTGCTGGTCAGTGAAAGAAGCTGGCCGTCTTGCCCTACCCATGTGACCGTCTTACCCCATGGGGTGGGGTAAGACGGGTTTTTGCAAGGTTTTGCAAAAATAGCTGCAGCTTATTTGTTGAATCAGGTCTAAGTCTCATCTTCTGGCAAATGAAAGTAAAATGTCTAACGAAGGTTTACACTCAGTTTCCCGTTTATATAATATGATGTTTCTAACCGGCCGAAAAATGGCTCCAAAGTTAAGGTGCCCGTCTTACCCCACTTTCCCCTAAGTCGTTCAATAAAACAGAAGATACAAGGCCTCTCTAGAGATACTCTAATGCTGCCGACCGAGGGCCCTGTGAGATTAAAGGTAGTGTGCCAGCTTTCTTGGACCGTATGGAGTTAATGGCCCAGATAAGGAGAACCGGATTTTTAGAACTTATCCATACCTTCAAAACTCATGGAAACGTCTTAAATTCTTCAAATTTTGAGTACCCCAGTGCGAAATTCGCCCCGACGGGTTGTCGGTCGTACCCCAACCACATTTCACACCACTATGAACAATAAATGCACACACTGAAATCGCTATTACCGATATGCTCATCCAATCAAGTTTCGATAAACCCGTTCATCATCATCTCCTGCGGTTTCGAACACGCTTGTTAGGTGGCTTCTGATGCTTGTCGAGGTCGGAATTTCCAAATACGCGTGGTGCGTCGGGCCGCGCGCTCTGACTTCGGCCAAGAAAAATGCGTCAGCTGATCATTGTCATTTCTGCCACTTGCGTGTGGTGAAATGGGGTCATAACTTATAAGACGGCTTTTTCATATCAATTATTTTACATCAAATCATATTTCAAACCATAAATAATGTTCGACAGCCAAATAAAAGAAACAATACCAATACGGGCTTACAGTTTAAGGCTCGACATTTGTGTTGTCTACGATTAGACAGCTGATAACTCATTCCCGTACGTCGTATGGTCGTAACACTATAATGACCTTTGCTTATTGTCACAAGTGCGCCGCATTCGCGATTGTTGCCCGACGCCTGTTTGCAGGTGAGCCCACTACAGTTGTTATACATATCTAAAAACCGAAAAACTTTTAGGCGAAAAAGGCACTATTCCAGGCCCATTTTTGATTTTTTTTGCGATATTAGGTAAAAACAGAAGCTTCTTATCCTAGGAAAAATAAAATGGGAAATCTTTCAAAGGTGGCACACTACCTTTAACAGAGACCCTTCAGAGCCCAAAGGCCAACAGAGAGCCATGGCGCCTCTCTGAAGTCTGAGGCCATCCGAGAGCGAGCCCTCTTAGGCTAACAGAATTCAGAGCGTTCTCTCAAACCTACTGGGCATTGAAAAGCCGTGAGGCTAGCCTAGGTGGACCTCTGAATCTGATGCCAGCAGAGAGCATTCGGAGGCCGACTTCTGAGGATAACATATATTTCTGAGGTCAACTGAGTAGTAAAGGCGGGACCGGCCGGGCGGCAGGGGCGGATCCAGGAAAACTCCAAGGGGAGGGTCATGAATCGAAGTGGTGCCCCTACCTATACCCAAAATTAAAAACTCAACGGATTTCGTCCACTTCATTTTGGTGGTGCCCCCATTTTCATTTTTTTTCTTTTTATTTTTTATTTTTAGTCAGTATCTTAACTCTTAGCCACAACCACATTTACCAATTGTAAGCAAGTATACCTATATGAATGTGCTATGTGTATATATGTTGTGGACGCTGAGTAGTGAGTACCTACTTACCAGGAACGTTATTAGGTAAGCAAATCGTTGTCAGTCCGACGAACTTGTTACTTGACCCTGGCGTCTAAAGGGTCTGTCCTTGACACTTCAGGCTTGTCAGGGGCACCAAAGTCCTTCCAGGGACACCACAAACCTGTCAGGGGCACCTACGGCCTTGTAGGGGCGCCACAGGCCCGCCAGGGGCACCACAGGCCTGCCAGGAAGCAGGGGCACCACAGGTCTAGCAAGTATACACGACAGGCCTGTCAGGGGCACAACGGGCCTGTTGGGCCCATGAGCACCCCTAGGGGCAGGGGCACCACAGTCCTTCCAGGGGCACCGCAGGCCTGTGAGGGGCACCAGCGGCCTAGCGGGGGCACCAGTCAACACAGGCCTGCCAGGGGCACCACAGACCTGCCAGGGGCACCAGAGGCCTGCCAGGAGCACCACCGACCTCGCAGGGGTAACTTGGGTCTGTCAGGGCCCAGGGGCACCACGGGCCTGTCGAGAGGCACTTCAGGCTTTTCAGGGGCACCATAGTCCTCTCCGGGTGCAGGGGTAGCAGGGGCACCAGAGGCCTGCCAGGGGCACTACAGGCCTAGCAAGGGCACCACTGGTCTATCAGGGGCACCACGAGCCTGTCATAGCCAGGCATCTCAGGCTTGTCAAGGCCCAGGGGCACCACAGGTCTGTGAGGGGCACCAGCGACCTAGCAGGGGCACCAGTCAACACAGGTCTGCCAGGGGCGCCACAGACCTGCCAGGGGCACCACAGACCTGCCAGGGGCACCAGAGGTCTGCCAGGGGCACCACCGGCCTCGCAGAGGCACCTTGGGCCTGTCAGGGGCACCACGGGCCTGCCGAGGGGCACTTCAGACTTTTCAGGGGCACCAGTCCTCTCCGGGCGCAGGGGTACCAGCGGCCTAGCAAGGGCACCACGGGCCTGCCGAGGGGCACTTCAGACTTTTCAGGGGCACCAGTCCTCTCCGGGCGCAGGGGTACCAGCGGCCTAGCAAGGGCACCAGAGGCCTGCCAGGGGCACCTCAGGCTTGCCAGGGCCCAGGGACACCACAGTCCTTCCAAGGGCACCGCAAGCCTGTCAGGGGCACCAGAGGCCTGCCAGGGGCACCACAGGCCTAGCAAGGGCACCACTGGCCTGTCAGGGGCACCTCAGGCTTGTCAGGGCCCAGGGGCACCACAGTCCTTCCAGGGGCATTACAAGCCTGTCAGGGGCACCAGAGGCCTAGCAAGGGTACCACAGGCCTGCCATGGACACCACAGGCCTGCCAGGGGCACCACCGGCCTTGCAGGGGCGCCTCAGGCCTGTCAGGGGCACCATGCGTGCCTGCCGGGGACACTTCAGGCTTGTCAGGGGCGTTACAGTCCTGTCAGGGCCCAGGGGCACCAGGCCCGTGGTGTCCCTGCTAGGCCGGTGGTGCCTCTGGCGGTCCTGTGGTGCCCCTGTCAGGACTGTGATACCCCTGATAGGCCGGTGGTGCCCCTGGCAGGTCTTTGGGCCCCCGGGCCTCAAGGGGGGGCATGACCCATGTAACCCCCCCCCCCCCCTTTGGATCCGCCACTGCCGGGTGGCACCGTTTTTTTTTTGTTGGGTTAGGCCCTTTCGGTCGACAAGACCATTGCAGAGCCGGAAGGATGATAGGATTTAGGGGGAGACATTGGTCTGGGCAGGCACCCTAGTGAGTCGCCGGGGCTGAGCCCGTCCAGAGGACAGGCCACCCAGCCCCAAGGCACTCACTGCACCCGGCTACGGGGTGCGCTCCCTTGGGAGCAGCGGTGCCGCTCCAAGGGAGCAGCCCGCATGAGATAAAGTTGCCTGCCCAGCCCGGAAGGGGGTTGTGGCGTGGAGGAGAAGAATTTCAGCATCCTGAGGATAGAAGCACGGAACGGTGGCACCGTTTGACAGGCGGACAGCTATTTTGTTTCTGCCAGTTGTCACACCGTACCGGTCGCTCCTGTGCCTACGGGCTGCGGCACGGTATACAGCGTCACCTATCAGTACGGTAAATAGCGCCACCGTCGGCCGGGACGCGCACCCCGCTCCGCTCGTCACCCCGCCCGCGTGCGCAATGCGCATGCGCAGCCCGAAGTAAACTGCCCCGTGGCGGCTGGCGCCGGGCGGGCGCAAGGCCAACGCTCTCGACGGGTATCGCATCGCGTCAAGGTGACGCCTGACGCAAGCCTGACGGCGGACCGGCCGGTGGGGGCGGTGCCGCGGCAGATTACACGCATTGGGACGAGAAGAGCGGCAGTGGTGTTGGACATCAGCAACGCCATGGTACGTAACTGACGTTTTCCTTATGTAATGACAGACTTGCGTTTCAGTCAGGAATTTTTCGTTGTGGAGCAAAGCGGGCTATGCCGTTGCGTACTTCTGGTCTTTGGGAATGGGGCAGTACATAGAAGCTATCCAGATTTCATCAGTATCTTATCAGCATGATCATGAATAATGGTATGACATTCATATTTGAACATTGACTGGTGACTGCTAAATGACTGCCTACCTAGTTCAGGTGAGGTCAGAGCCCCCAGGTCACAAAGTTGGTCAAGGGGGGTCTTGCCGCATATCATTCGATTCGGCAGGTCTTCTCGAGTCCCCCAATGGTGACTTTCCCGACACGCTAGCTCAATTTGATCAGGAGTTATTGACGAAAAACTTTTATGACCTTCGTGACGTCATAAATGACGCCAGTCGCCACACAAGGTCAACCATACAAAAGTAAAGCATCGAAACTTGCAAGAAGTGCATGAAATCACGATTCCGTGTGGTTGGGATAGTTTGAGATCGTTCCCGGCGTCAAAATAGCAGTTTTCATTTTTCCCCCATTGACTTATAATGGTGAGGCCACGTGACCGACCTGACCTCATGTGACCTTTAGGAAAAATCCCAGGTACCTATACAAGTTTTGAGACCTCTGGAGGATACAACCTCTTGTAAGTTTCATCTCCCTGTGAAAGCTCCTCTGGTACTCAGAGGGCGTTACGAAGTTGCGACATCTGAAGACCGTGCAGAGGTTCACTTATGACGTCATAGGCCAGTGACCTGACATGACCCGAAAATTTGAATGGTGTCTAAAGATCCGACTTGACTCATAGGTCGGGTATGCCAAGTTTCAGCTATCTATCTCTAGCGTGCTCGGAGCTATCGCAAAAAAACTATGGTTTTTCCGGACGATAACCCTCGGCCGGCGAGGGTTAAAGTAGCTACTTGACCTCTGATTCAAGACTGGTCTTGTGACAATAACATCATCTTCAGGTCAGGTCCGGTAACTGAACTATGTCATGACGGAACTTCTGTGGGGTTCTATAAAATGTTGCAATTTTCCAACGCCCACAGTTCTAGAGAATCTTACGTAGGAAGATGCAGTTTCCAAGGCGAAGGTAACTCCTAAGGGCTCACAGTTTGTATATCTCAGATTTTTCGCAGATGTCACCTGACTCCTGAGGTCAGGTCGGTCACATCACATGACCTCACGGAAATATGGGAACGGTGACTTTGCGCTGACAATGATCTATGAGCCCATCTAAAGCACATTAAATCCAGATTTTATTTACGTCTTGCAGGTCTGATGCCTAGTTTTGGTATTGTTGAGCTTACGTGGTGTCATATTTGACGTCAATAAGGTCATCATAGTTTTCGTCAGCCTAATTCCTAGTCAAATTGAGCTAGCTAGTCGGGAAAGCCATGAATGAACTCTAAACTCCGAACTCCTAACTCCGAAGCATGACCTCCTTCGCCCGACTTCTTGACCTTGGTAGTTTTGCCCTGACCCTAACCATGAGGTCAAAGCTCAGGTTAAGGCTATCATTCATGACAAAGAAAACAAATATTATTCGACGCGTCGAGTATGACGAACACGGTGATCATCACTTTCAGAGATATCAATGGAAGTAAACAGGGGGTCATTTCGTCCCGCTCCCCTACGAAGCACGGGTTTAATGTGTTGGCCCGTATAATTTAGCGAAAATAGCTAGGTACACTTTCATACTCGTGCCAGTAGTGACAGCCAGCTAAAGCGACTTTTCTATTCCATCTGCTAATGTCAGCGTGGAACCGTATAAGGCGCAACGGAACTATTGTTTGCTTAGGCTGCACCTCCAGTCCGCACCATAACTCGTACCTACAGGTTAGGCTTTGTTGGCTGGGGCCGAATACTCACACGATCCCCCTACCAAATGTAAAAACTTCGGATCTACTATCTCATATTTTGTTTCGATGATTCACAACGACAGAAACATGTTTTCCACATCAGGTTGATCCATCCAACTTGATCGCCCTAGTGCCTGCAAACTGCAGATTGGACACCGCGTAATTAGATGCTTGCTGTACGGTGAAAAATACGTTGGTCATAAGTGTGCATTGGATCCTGCGATTGGTTTTGACCGAATGAGGCTATTCTGATTACTGAAAGCACTAGGGTGTTTGCCAGAGTTCGGCGCCCGAAATGAGGCAGCTCCCTGAGTGTCTGCGGCCCGGCTCGGTGCCATTCGCGCCCCGCTCGGGCCGGCCGGCAGTCGGTCTCCGAGACACCCCACCGTCTGACGGTGCAGTCCCCCAGCAGGAAAATGCGGTCCGTGGCGGTGCTGGCGCTGCTCTGGGCCGCCGCCGGAGGCGCGCTGTTCCGCTCCAGACTGGTGGAGCACGCGCAGACGCCGCTCAGATGGGCCGGCGGCGTCTCCGGCATTCAGTGCGCTTCCCTCTGTCTGTGGGCCAGCGACTGTGTCGGCTGGAGTCGCGACCCGCACACCGGCGCGTGCCGTCTCTGGCCGCCGGCTTCCGCGCAGAACCCGCTCACCCCGCTGAAGGAGCTGGTGTTCCAGAGCAGGCTGATTGCAGTTCCGGACGGATTTACAATCAGCGACGATCCAAAGGTCGCCTACAGCATCATCATCATTGTAGCCAGACTGTCTAAGGAGTCTTTCGTTGCCGCCTGCCATGCTAAGCACCCAGATGCGTTTCCAGCCGTCCCGAGCACAACGCAGCAGTTCGAGTACTTGAAGGCAGCCGTTCCAAAGGATGCAACTTTGTATGTCGGAATCTACAGAGATACGACGATGAACGTTTTCAAGAGCATGGCAGACGGGCAGACAATGGAGCCTCCCTCCAGCTGGTGGATTGGTGGCTCCGTACTCGTAGAAGATTGCTGTGAATGCATCTCCATGACCTATGAGGGCATCTACCCAATCATCTGTAGTGCTGCACTCCACGGCTACATCTGTCAGTACAACTTGTAGACCAACAAACGACAACACTACCTAGTACCTAGTACCTACCGTTAAACGCCGTTGCTCGCTCAGAACTCTGAATGTTGCTGAGATGGGATGGCTTGGCTTGCGGCGTGTTTAAGCACAGCCGAATGAGTTTTAGCTCAACATTGCTGGCTGTTGAGTGAGCGTCTGCATTAGAGGGCTCACCCATTTGGCAGTGTTTTGGAGGCTCATCTGCAGTGCACATTGAATACGCTCGAGACAAGCGGTGTCTCCTTGCTGCCTCATTTGCCGTGTGATTCGTGATACCGATGGGCCGACTCCATCCGGCAATTCCGCCTCTTAGCCGGTGCCACAGAACGGCCATCCGTGTTCGGGCCTTCTGCACCGTCGTGTTGTTCTGCTGCTGTATACCGTTGACTACAGAACGATGTTCAAGTTTTCACAGATAATTAGTTGCCCACGGAATGGTATGCTGTGCCGCATTGCACAAGCTAAGTGACGAATATAATGCTGTGACCCAACGCTCGCCAGAGACACGCTTAGTTCCATGATAAGCGGCACAACCTAGCGTTCTCGCCAACTGATTCCTTCAAAGAAGTGCAACATCATTCTGTAGCCAACTGTACTGTACTGTCTATGTTTGTGAAGCTCCTTCAGATCCGGCAATTACCGTGAAGCAGTCGATTTACTAGAGGCAGATACCTATTGTTAGTACTTCGATTGTCCCGCAGTAGATAAGTAAGGCACACATGTGCTGCTGCTGTCGGTAGGTAAAGACTATAGGTAGTGGTGTGTCCTAATCACGCACATGCACTCAGCCTGGAACTGTCTGTGATCTTTGCTCTTCAACTGCCTTGATTCTGTATGTACCTATTTTGCTAAAGGCTCTGTTATTTACATAATACGAGTACATACATCTTTTATGTCGGTGGGCGTGAACAGTTTGTGAGGGAAATGTCGGCTGTCGGCAAAAAGGTTAGGGCAAATTATACTATATCTACGTACAGCACAAGCGAGTGGCAGCAAATTCCTAAATTCTTTGCCTGACTTCTTATGCTGGTGCTTATGCTTGCACTGGGTACCTTTCGTGCCAATTGGATCAGATTTACAGCGGGGGACCGGCATTTTGAAGACGCAGCATTTCATAACATGCTCGGTTAACCCGTGCGCAATACGCATGATTGGGGTACATATATCGTATAACCTGAGCGATGGGAGGGGGAGGGGAGGGGCCCGCGATCTCAAATTTGGTATGTGGAATGTGGATAGAAGATGGTAGGGATTATCATGCATATTACGGTTGTTTTGAAATTTGAAAAAAAACTTGGGATTTTTTGGCTAATATATCAAAAAAATACTTTTTTATTTTTCTGGGGTCAAAATCGAAACATTTCAAAAATCTGAGATAGCAGTTTTATAGCTCAGTACCTAAATTCTACACCTTTTCTTTTCAGAACATTTTTTTCTGGATCTTCAAAGCTGTAGGCCCGACAGCTTTTCCCGCGAAACCTTTTTGGGTTGAAAGTGACAGAGCGTGACGTCACTCTGGCGTCATTTGTGGCCACCTATCATAGTCTCTGTAAACAACTTTTGATCACAATGTGTAACATTGATGCTCGGAGGGGTTCTGACATTTTGCTGACGATACCTGCAGTCGTTTAGGAGATATCTACGGAAAAGGATAGAGGGGGCAACGCCCCCCCCCCCCCACGAGGCGTGGATGAAAGAAGTACGCATGATAATCCGACACGGGCACCCCAGTGGATGTCTTTTTCCATAACAAAATGTTTGGTCGTCTAAAAGGAATCGGCCAAATCAAAAGTAAACCAATCGACACAAGACGAATTCCATACCCATGGATCGAAAATAACCCTTCCTCGCGTCACGGAGCAGGCTGGTCACCCTAATAATTTACTTTTGTAAATGTTCTGTTCCCTGCGAGTACCGAGCCTGTAGGTGGGTATTTGGTATGTTTTAGGTCAAGACTAGGTCGCGCAAGGTCACACTGACGTTACTTCCAGTCCGCCTACGACAGCTACGATATTTCTTTTCAACAATTGGTGTCAA